ACCAGTTATCTGGACTAACAGCTGGTCTGTGTATCATCAGACTTTTCCAGAAATAGAATGAATAAAATGTCATTATATAGAAACATATATAGACAGACAGACAGAAAGATAACAGATATGTAGACACGTGTAGGATACATAAACAGATGCTGAAGGGAAAGAGAGAGAGAGAGAGAGAGAGAGAGAGAGACATAGATACATAGATCTGCATATCTGTACACACATATACATAGAGGATACCTAAGTAGATGATGAATGGATAGACAGAAAGATCGTTACACCTGTTGTTTGAAACAGGATCTCATTCTGTAATCCTGGCTAGCCCAGAGCTCACCATATAGACTCAGCTGGCCTCTAACCCACAGAGATCCACATGCCTTTGCCTCCTGGGTGCTGAGATTAAAGTTGTTCATAATCGCATTTGATGTAGACCAGTGGTTCTCAACCTTCCTAATCTAGGACTCTTTAATGTAGTCCCTAATGTTGTAGTAACCCCAACCATAATATTATTTCCTTGCTATTTCATATCTTTAATTTTGCTACTGTTATGAACTATGATGCAAATATCTGTATTTTCTGATACTGTTGGGGATCCGTGTGAAAGGATCATTTGACTCCAATGGTATCACAACCCATGGGCTGAGAACCTCTGGCCTAGACTATTGATTTGAGGAAACTACTGGGTCCAGTTGCTGTGGATTCCTGTAGAGCCGAAAGCATGGGCAGGTTTCTGATGCGTCAATCTTTATTTTTAAAAAATGGTGTTTTGCATGTCTGTGTGATGCGCTGAATCCTGGAATTACAGACAGTTGTTAGCTACTGTTTGAATGCTGGGAATTGAACCCAGGTCCTCTTGAAAAGCAGTCAATGCTCTTAACCACTGAGCCATCTTTCCAGCCTTTGATATTATAATCTTAAGACAGAGCTTCTATTCCTTCTCCAGGAAATACCAGACCTTTCTCAAGGCCTTCAACTTATTAGCTGAATCTCAGCCACAGAGTGTGATCTGCTTCACTTAAGGTCAACAGATTGAAAGGTGAATCATTTCTACATGATGCCTTCGAAGAAACACCTAGACCAGTGTTTGGCCAACAGTAGCCATCAGACTCACAGACACAGAAACCAGGTGCATATCCTTTTCAATATGCACAGCATGTATTTTTTTCTAGTTAACTATTGACATCAGTCCATGTTAATTTTGTCTTTGAACAGACAGAGGGTTGGCCTAACAGTAGATACCAAAAAGTTTGTCCTTTTCCTTCACATTTGAAATGCTCCTTTACATTATAATATAATAAAATAATATAAATATATTTATATATGTATCTTATAATATATATTAGAATACAATATCTTATAATGTAAGTAATATATTAATGTATATTTGTGGGGCTAGAAGATGAGCTGAGAGTCCTCTCCTCCTCCCCACTGCCCTCCATTCTGGGATGGATTGCCAGGTACAAACAAAAGAAACATGGAGCTTGGGAAATTAGTGTTCAGGTCTGTAGGGGTGAGCCCCACAAAGCTATCCGCCCTAAGGGCAGGGATAAGGAAATTTAGGACAGGTGGAGATAAAAGGAAGTGAAAGAGAAACTAGTCCCTCCTCTTCTCCTCTCTTCCCCTAGAAGCCTGCCATGCTTCTGACTCCCCAGCCTTTTGTGTGTAAGTTCTTATTCTGGTAAATAAATATATTATATTCCCTATTGCACTGACCTTCCACATCACAGATCTGCACCCTTCAGCATATCAAACAGCAAATGCCAGTGAGAGATTGACTGAGGGAAGAGGGCAGACCCACTCGGTGAACATTTCTCACCACCACACTCTCTCCTTCAGCCAGCCAGGGCCAGCTTGTCCCGTGGTGAAGAGATTTGGGTCTCTGCCTCAGCAGGAATTCAAGCCAAGAATGCACAACCACTCTGAGAGAACCCAACTGTCAGGTACTTAAGAATTTCATCGTAATAGTAAGATAATGAATTGTATAGTCTATTTGAGACACAATCCAACAAGATGTATTGGAATGAGGCAGCTTAATAATTTAAAATAGCCATCATAAGTACAGAAAAGGAAGTTAAAATAACATGAAAATTTTTTAAGAGGGAAGACCAAACAAAATCATTGGATGTGAAAATTTTAATCACTGAAATAACTCAATGAATGACACACACATACAATTGTATTCTGCTAAGAGATGAGCTACAAGCTCTCCTGCCAGTGTTGAGAAGGAATGAGGGGTGGAAAGATGCAGCAGATTTGAGCGCTGAAGATAAAATGCATGTGTCATCATCTGAATAATAGGAGGCCTTGAAGAAAAGAGAAATGAAGAAAGGCAAGTGTCGGAAAATTGTTGGGGATTAAAGAAAGATGAGAGGCTTCAGATTGAAAGAGCCCATGGAGCCCCTAATAAGATAAATGTAATAAACCACATCTAGATACATTATGGGGAAATTTAAACCACAAAGAAAAAAGCCAAAACTCCCAACGCTGCTGAAGAAAAAGATGATCACTCACGAGGAAGCAAGCATCTTTCTGATTGACATCCAACTTCTGTTCAACAATGACAAGAGAGACAAAAGGCAGGAATGTACTATTTCCAAAGTGCTAAAGAACTTCAAACCAGATTTATTTCAAGAAAAAAATGAAATAAGAACCTGCCATGAAAATAATCCCTGGAACAAAAAGCCAAGGTGATGTACAAAATTCTCCTTGAAAACAGAGAAATCACTCCAGTTAGAAGAGAAATGGACTGGTGGTATTAGTGTACAATAACAAGGGAATGGGGGAGTGTGAGTATTAGATAAGGAAAAGCTAACTTAGATGCTGCATGAAAAGAGAAGGAAAATAGAAAGGGAAGAGACAGGGAGACAGAGACAGAGTCAGAGAGACAGAGATAGAGTCAGGGATACAGAGTCAAAGACAGAGAGACAGAGACAGAGTCAGAAAGACAAAGAGAGTCAGGGAAACAGAGAGAGAGTCAGGGAGATAGAGACAGAGTCAGAGAGAAAAAATTTCACAACCAACAGGAACTAAAATTTTGTCTAACTCATAGAGTGATGACTAAATAAATGGTGTCTTCAAGGAAGGCCAGGAGCCCCCACGGGAGTATTCTTACATTGTTATAGAGAAAGATGTAAATGTTGAATTGGCCTCTTTGGCATATCAGATCACTGAAAGAATGGAGCCCAAGAAGTGAGAATCTCTTCCCTAATCTTCTACTAAGAGAGAAAATGAGTGGAACTCTGTGGCATCCGGAACCTGGGTACTGGAGAAAGATTTACATCTTCTCAGGTGACTTTGAAGGAGAGATGGGGGATAAGTGATGGGCAAGGGGACCAACCACACTTCAGTCATGTACATTTCCTGCTTTATTTTTAAATATATTATTAAATTAAAACAGAATATCACTTTCACTCTCCTCCCTCCAAGTCCTCCCATAGCACCCCATCAGATTAGTCTCTTTTTCTTTGATTATTATTGTTACATGTTACATACATATGAATATGTATGCACAAATACATAAATACAACCTGCTGAGTCTGTCTTCAATGTTTGTGTGTATATGGTTTTAGGGATGACCATTTTTATTGGCTAACCAATAAGAGACCTCATCTATTTCAAACCTATCCCCACATTAGGGCTCCAGAAGAACTGGAATCACTTTTTCTTTGTTCCTCTTCCCAGTGTGGCCACAATTGACTAACTCTCTCTTTTCTGCTCTCCACTGTTAAAATAAGGACTTAAACAAATACTGACTTGGCATTGGTGAGACAAATAAACAAAAATATATTTTTGTAATGTTGAGTATATCATAGACAGTAAAACTCAAAATGAGGGGAGAAGGAGAGAGAGAGAGAGAGAGAGAGAGAGAGAGAGAGAGAGAGAGAGAGAGAGAGAGAGAGAGAGAGAGAGAGACTAGAGATAAGTAGCTAAGTTTAAATATTGTGTGAACTACACTACACAGTTTGTACTTTGGGTTCAGTTATATCCTTACTCCCAAACATAATACATAGCACTACACAAACTTGACATCCTATAACCTGGTCCCTTGGGTTATAATCTGATTTGGAATAGAGCTGCAGCAGGGGTAGTAAGGGTGAAAGAATTCATGCTGGAGCGTCAGGGGAGTATGCCCAGTAATATGTAAGAAGAAAAGAGAGTGCCACGCTAAGGCAGAGAGAAGAAGCTGTTTGTGGCAAGGCAGGCAGACATTGGAGCTGCACAGCTACAAGCTGTGGGAGACCAGAGATTTCTTGTAAACAACCAGAATCTAAGAAAAAGCAAGGATGAACTCCCCAAAGATTTGAAGTAAGCATACCTTTCTGCCCTTACTTCAGACTTCCAGCCTCCACAGCTATAAGAATATGGATTTCTGTGGCTTGTGTGTGGCTTGTGTGGTGTGTGTGTGTGTGTGTGTGTGTGTGTGTGTGTGTGTGTGTGTGTGTGTGTGTGTGTGTTTTGGTTTGTTTGATTGGTTGGTTTGGTTTGGTTTTGTTTTTCTGGAAAATATGTAACATTTTCTTTTTCAAAAATAAAATATTCTTACTATGGTTTTTTGAGAATTTCATGTTCAGAAGACACCGTTTGACTCTGGTCCTTCAAGAACCCTGGGTTTTACAATTCATCCCACACCCTCTTCCAAAATGGTCCCTAGCGAGGAGGTGTGATGTAGATAATCTGCTTGTGACAGAACACTCCACAGACACTCTATGCTCCCTGGCCAGTTGGGAGTTTCTGCCTTTGGGAGGCTGAGGCAGAAGGATCACTAGTTTGAGGCTAATCTGGCTTACAGAGCCAGACTTTGTTTAAAAGAAGAGTAATCAACCCAAATCTGACATGCCAGAAAAATGTATGATCTGCTATGAACGATTATGGAGTGTTCTAAACTTTTAGAATTATGTCAGCTTACAAATCCCCTATCTTCTGTGTAAGCTTTATAATATAAATCAATACAAATGTACTTACATAGAATGTATGAATAATTACACAAGCAAAAACTGGGGTGGGTGTTCAAAAATGTTTTACTGACACGAAATCATGGCTTTAAAAAAATTCTGGAGACATCAAAATTGGTAAAAAAGCAGACATCAGTAGCAAGAGTCTAGTTTGAAATGCCCAAAATCATTTTTGATGGCCGCAGTGTTGGCAGGGAAATGAGTTTTCAGGGTCCATGTCGCCTGACCATCGTCCCTTCTCAGTCATCTCTGGATCATTCCATGCCCCACACCCACACCCCTAGACCTTCTGGTAAACACTGAAAGACAATGATGGACTCCGACCAGCAATGGCTTTTCCAGGTCACTGGCTCAGCATTCATGGACCGCATCCCAGAACCAAAAATAGAAGATCCATCTGCACTTTGGCTACTGGAGCTGAGGCTTGGATGAGCCTCAGGACAGGCTTTGGCAGACTGGTGGCCATGGTGGCAACACTGACCTCTTCAGGTGACCTCGACGGGTGATGGCCAGCAGCCAAGGCAGAAATGTTTTCTCAGCCAGCAACCTAGTGATGAGATGAGAGAATAAGGAATGTGCAGGGATCATGACTCCTCGATGAAGGGAAGGGTTCCTCCCTGTTGGTGCACGACTCACAACTGTGTGGGGGAGGGGAGGAGGCTGCAAGGGCAGTTCTGAGGGAGTCTCCATCACTCGGGGTGACTGTTCAGTAGTATCATTCCTTTATCTATAGATTTTGGGACGTTTGAGCTTGGCACACAGTACCTCGTATGATAGGACTGTTAGTATAAGTTGCTTGAACTGGGTGGTAAGGAGAAGTTGATTTCTAATTGGTCCCCTAATCACACTGAGGAAAAGAAACTGAATCCTGGAAGCATCTTTTGGCCTTTGCTTTGTGGATATTCTTAAGTAAAGGAGAAAAAATCTGTCCTCTGTTCCCTTTGTAAGATGAAAGAGAGGACTGAATAAGACAAGGAGCCAGGAGGGTGGAAAGAGAGGCTCTTGGTCACACTGAAGAGAAAGGACAGAACTCGGGATGCCCAAATAGGGGCGGGAACCCAGATGCTGTCTTCTTTCTTCCTTCCTTGCCTCGTCCCAGCTCCGAATCTCCCAAATCTTCCATTTTCTCAACCCTTTCATACTCTCTATACTTACATCTTGCCCGTTTCCCACAGTTTTGAAAAATGGATGTTCACGTAAATTGGTGTTCTCAGTAACATTCAGGTTAACAGGCAAATCCCTTCTCATCATCTGTGCCTCTTTGTTCTCCAGGACAAGTTTCTCCAGTCAAGATGGACAGTGAAATCAGGTGAGATGAATACTACTGCCCCAAACACACTGTAACGAAAAGCTGAAAATAAGATACAATGAAAATACACGGTCAGGCTCAACTATGAGATAAACTGCATTGATTAAAAACAGAATAATACATTTAAAATATTGATCCTGAATGGAGTTGTGAGCCTGCTGGACTCCCAGTCTGGGAATAAAGAAAGGCAGCTGGGAACTTACTGGCTGTGGAAGAGGGAGCTTAAACCACTTCACACCGTTCTCCAGGGATGAGTGGCATGATAAATTAGCCAATCCCAGGGGGTCATCCATAAGCGCATGTGGGTAATGCTAACTGACCTCAGCGGGCTGTATTTATAATTTTATGTACATGTATATGTGTGAGCAATTATAATTAAGGAATAAGAGACCATGAATTTGAGAAGGGGTGGGGGTCACGGGTGGAAGTACAGAAAGGATAGGGAATGGGGAATGATGTAAATACAGTACTCATATATGAAATTTTCAAAAGCAAATTATAAAAGGAATTAAAAATATTTCACATGATCTTTCCTGATGGAAAAAGGAGATCAAAAATGTTATGGACAAGTGTTGTTCAAAGATACCTCTCTTTGCATGCCGCAGCCTAGGAAGGTGGAAGGACAGAGACACCTTATGTGTGAGGTCCTGTGGTGTGTGACAGCATACCATCACCTCAGGCATCACACGGGATAACCGAACTACATGGATTCTAGGATGGATACCAAGAAATCTGGGATGAGGCTGGAAGGAATAGGAATCAAAAAGAAAGATCAAAATGAAAACAACACTAAGTCCTCAGTCTCAGTGTTATCCTCACAGGAAACTTGGCCTCTTTTGACAGTCTGGTATATAGATGTCTTACTTGGTTGTTCAGAATAAGACCTTTTAAATTATATTTACGATTTGTTGTTTCTTCAAGCAATAATGTCAATGCCTTTATGTATTCAGAGAATATGCCATTTTGTTTTGTGTACTAATTCTCATAGTTTGCATATTCTCTTGGAATTTTAAATGCACACAATCATTATCTACAGATAAATGGAACTTAATTTTTCCCCAATACCTTCTTTTTCTTGTTTTATTGCATTGGCTACAGAGTCAACAACGGTGTCTGTAATAGAAATTTACTATTTCGCCACTAAGTAAACTTTTGTTTTAGGAATATTTTAGTGTCCTGATCATGCTGATGCTAAGAATTTCATGGTTTTGAATCTTGAAAGGGTGTTGTCTATTATTAAATGCTGTTTTGCACCTATTTGGAAAACCAAAGTCTTCCTTTAATATACTAACACAAACTATCACCTGCATATGTGTTCTAAGCAAATACAGCTTATGAGCTGTCTTTCAGAAAGTTGGATGGTAGAATGCTTGCTTTATTACTTTTTATTCTTGATTACATATTTAAAATACTCATAGTATAAAAAGGAAGTTATTCAATCACCAAGAAATTAGACTAATGATGCTCTTACACTTAGTTCCATCAATTATCTTCATAACAAATAACCAACTTTCTAAAAGCTAGTCAGGTGTGATGGTGCACACCTTTAATCCCAGCACTTGGAGGCAGAGGGAGGTGGATCTGTGTGGATTTTAAGACAGCCTTGTCTATACACTAAGTTCCAGGCCAGCCAGAGCTTCATATTAAGACCCCCCTCTCTCTCTGTCTCTCTGTCTCTCTCTCTCTGTCTCCTCCCTCTCTCTCACTCTCTCTCTCTCTCTCTCTCTCTCTCTCTCTCTCGCACACACACACACACACACACACACACACACACACACATTTTCAATACCTGTCCACATTCTTCTAGTAACAGCATCCTGATTTATCCTAGAGCATAAAACCCTGTTGGCTTTTGGGCCACAGGGCTTTGAATCAAACATCTCAACGCCTGGAGCATGAGACTCAGCTTTGGCTTAAGCATTGGTATCTCATGGACAGAGTGATTGGTTCAGGGATTATTTAGGATTAACAGACTGTTTTCATTGACACTGTTGAGAGAGGGGATCATTTCTCTACTGAATTTGAACCTGAGGGGATGTGTTGGGCTGCTGGTTATCTTGCCACCACTAAGGACCCAGTAATGAAGCCAAAGATTAACAGGGAAAAAGAGAAATAAATGGAGCTTCAGTCTTTATAGGACTTCCCTCTTTAAAGCTTTTTGCCTCGTGATCTAATGTGCTCACCCCTTCATTCCCCAAGTTTTGACTTCATGATCCTCTCACTTGTAAGCAAGAGTTGAAGCCAAGCCAACCTCCACATCTCCTCCCTCTTTTTCCTTCCTCCTCTTTTGTCACCAGTTCCTTCCTCCCCCCACCCCCACCCACATCCCCTACAAACAAGCTCAGAGTTTCAGTCTCTTCACCAACTCTGCCATTTCCCCCAAGCTCTCTCTCACCTATTCCTCTTTATTTTGCTGTCAAAATGTCCAAAGAGGACACACTTTGTGTGTCTCCTTACTAAACCACTCAGGTTAGTGACCTTACCTCTACCACTTATGCACCCACCCAAAGCCATCTCCATGGTAGTGTCTTCCAGAGTATGGCCCCTGTCCTTAAGAATCGCCTCAGAAATGGGTTTTAAATGCCCAGCACTATGTTGGCCACCAAATCAGAATTTCTAAGGATTCTGCCTAAAGATGTGAAACTTTTAAAACCCCAGTTCACTCTTAAACATTCCAAGATTTAAGAATGATTACATTACACAGGCTGGGCTGATAACTTGGCCAGTAAAGTGTTTCCCTTGCAAGCAGAAAGACCTGGATTTGATTCCCAGAATTCATTTTTTAAAAAAGCTGAGCTTAGAGGTACATGCTTGCAACCCCAGCACTGGGGAGCCAGAAACAGGATCCTGGAACTCACTGGCCAACCAGCCTTGTCTACTTGGTGAATTCCAGGTCAGTGAGAGATCCTCAATGTTAAAAAGAACATTAAGGATCTTTCTCTGCCTTTTACAAGTGCACGCACGCGCACACACACACACACACACACACACACGTCTACACACACTTGAAGGATTATTACGTTATAGAAATTGCTCCTCAAGGCTTAGTTTTGTTTTTATTGACTTCAGGTGTCGCAGTCACCCTGACCTGCATGAAGCACTCAGCAGTCTCAACATTCCCCTTCGCAACTGTTCTTTGTGAGCCTTTTGTGTGCAGTGAATCGAAGCCCTTTAACTAGGAACTCAACTTGTCAGGCAAGCTTAAGAATTGGAAGTACATCTTGTCTGATATGTATCGGCCTAATCCAGGGACTGTGTCTTGCTTGTCTCTTGCTGCCTGGATACAGCTACCCTCCAGGCTTAATGGTGTGAGTTTCTAACTATTCCAGTATCTGTAAAGAGCTGAGTTTGTCATCAGATGTGTCCCAGTACCACCAACAGGATTAGAGTTGGCTTCCTTGTAAGCCCCATTTTTTAAAGATCCCTCCATGTTCAAGCTTCAGGGTGTATGTGGATTAAAGCTACTCATCCATGACAGTGGTAGAGCTATCGCTCCCCAGAATATATTACAATTTTCATATTTGGCATATATTCTTTTATTTTGTGTATAAGGGCAGTGTACATGCGTAAGTATGTGTGTGTGAAGGTGTGCTCAACCATGCATATGTGTATGGAGGCCAGAATTCAACACTGAATTCCTTTCTCTATTATTCACCACCCTATTTTTTTTAGACAGTATTGCTCACTGAGCCTGGGATTCACCATTTTATCTAGACTAGCTGGCATTGAACCCCCAGGATCTGTCTCTCTCCATCCTCCTGCCATAATCAGAGCTGGGTGACAGGTGCGCATTATCACACACAGCTTATAGATGGGTGACAAGGCTCACACTCGGGTTCCTATGTTTGCACAGCAAGCACTGTACACATAACCATTTCTGCAACCCTATGGTGCCTATTATTTTATATTTAGAATCATCTTTTTCATATACAGAAAATGTATTAAGCTGGATGTAGTGTCACATTCCTGCAGACCCAGCAATGGGGAGCTAATGACAGGTAGATCCTAGATGGCAGAGGCAGGAACATCAGGAATTCAAGCCAGCTAGCCCCTGCCACATAGCAAGTTATGTGAGATCTTAACTCAGCTTGGTCTACAGAGTGAGTTCCAGGACAGGCTCCAAAGCCACACAGAGAAACCCAGTCTAGAAAAAAATAAAACAAATTTTTTTCAAGAATTAGGTTTCTTTATAAAAGAAAAAAATGGTAGTCCACCTTATCGTATGCTATCCTACATGTCCTGAACTTTCCATGCACTCTGGGGAGAAGCCACCTCTGCCATCAGAGGTCTGTACTGGCCTTTGTACATCACAAAGAGTAAACCAATTTTGTTGATATGGATTCAGATGACAGAACAATGTTATTCCAGATCATTAATATAACCCCAGTGTGGTGTCAGGTAAGACATAGACTTCCCTTCTAAATCTTAAGTACGACTGGTCCTCATCATATTTGGAATCATATGTTCTACCTCTCTGGGGCCTATGTTAATTCTGTCTAAGGACACACCACACATACTGACATTTTCTTGAGTGGGGGGACAGTCTTTCTTTATCACTCCTCACCTTATTGTTAGAGACAGTCTTTCACTGAACCTGGACCTCACATTTTAGCTAATCAGTGGGTCCTCAAGCTCTGCCTTTGTCCCTCATGAAGTGCTGGGATTACAAGTGTACTTCACCACACCTGGAGTTTTTACATGAGTGCTGGGGATCTGAATTCAGGTCCTCATGCTTACACAAACACACAAACACTCTCCCCACTGAACAAACTCGCAGTGCCAACATTTTCAGTCTTATACATTCTTTGTTATTGATAGTGTGGACCTGAATTCTGAAAGTAGCTAATTTTAGAATCTCTGGAAAGTTTCATCATCATTTTGAGATTCATTTTACCATCTCAAGTTAAAGCATTTGAAATAGATGGTGGAGTATGCTTACAATCCCAGTATTCAGGGGTTGAGACACAAGGAAGAAAGGATGGGAGGGAGGGAAGGAAGGTGGGAGGGAGGGAGGGAGGGAAGGAGGGAGGGAGGAAGGGAGGGAGGGAGGGAGGGAGGGAGGGAGGGAGGGAGGGAGGGAGGGAGGGAGGGAGGGAGGGAGGGAGGGAGGGAACGAGGGAGGGAGGAAGGCTTGAGCTGGATCTTTAAGCTCCCTTCTGGCCCTATCCTGTGGGAATCACAGACCCTGGCCAGAAACCCACCCCTCCATCAGCCTGGGAGCAGGCAGCTGCAAGATAATGTTTACTGAAAACATGTTTACTGAAAACAATTCAGTGCCATAAAGCTCCTGATAGGGCTCCGATAAGGGCTCAAGGGCTCGCTCACTGAAACACCATGACTTTGATCCCCCCTACGGCTAGCTGCTTCTTTCTGCTCCCTGCTGTTTCTCCCCATTCTGGTGCTGGAGCTTTAACCACCAGCCAGGAGGGTGAGAAGTCTGTGAGAGCTGTGAGAGGTGTGTGAGAGCTCAGTTGGAGAATTGTGTGTGTATGGATGGCAGAAGTCTTTAAAAAGAGAAGCGTTTTTTTCTTGGGAGTTCTCCTAAGCCGACTTGGGGAGCATAAGGTTTTCTTAACACAACCAACCGGTCTCTGTGTCATCTATCCCAACAACCTCGCCACATTCTTGGATACAGGCTGCTCAGCAGGTGAGACGCTATCCTATAGGTCTATCAACACTGAACAAGTATCCATAGGGTAAAAAACTAAAACAGGTCAAACTCTAAGTCTGCGCTTAAGTGAACTAGCTGCTGCCAGTTTTATTACAGAGGGACACCCTGGGCCCAGAGAGTGGCCAGGTAAGTTTAAGACTCTTCTTACACGAGTTGACAGTTAATTCTCTTAGCCTATTTTCTCTTTTCTGGAATTTCAATAACCAAACACTTTTTATATTGAGTTTTCTCATTGGTGATAAAAATTGGAAACTTTAGATTATTTGTATTTGCAAAAATACTATGATTCAGCAATGAATCCTTTTTTATAATTAATGGACCAAAAAATACATAAATTAAAATGAGATGATGAAAGTAATGAGTAGACATGTTTTTGAGGTTACTTTAAATGATTTGACGAATCTACAAAGAAACTCATAAATTTTCTTTCACTTAAGTCTGCCTTAAAACTGGTGACTCAGATTTCACCTGGCTCTTGAAAGTCCTAGATATTTGAACATAACTATCAACCACAAGAAATGTGAAAGTGTCCAAACCTGTAAATGTACTCAGCTAAAGAATGACTCTCATTTTGTAGTCACAGGGCCTACACCGTTAGTATGGATACTCCTTACAATCTAGACTAATAAGAGAGTGTGTGTTTATATAGACATCTGCACGTGCCCTCCCCTCTGAATCCTCTGCCCCAGAAATGAACATGCATCACTCTGCCGAATAGTCACCTTAACGTCTGTATATTTTTAAAATGGAAGATATGCTAACAAGTTACTCCTTTGCTCCTTTTTGTAATAAGGTTTCCTATGGGATTCTGGATGGCCTTCAGCTCATGACCCTCCTATCAGAGCCTCCTGAGTGCTGGAACTGAGGGCATGCGGCACAAGGCATGGCCTTGCATATTCTTTTCATTAGTATTTTCTAACTTGGAACTTGGATGACAAAAATACTTTGGGAACATTTTTTAGCCGCTTGTATTGTAAGCTAAAATCTTTACAAAGCATTTGTATTTCCAGTCTTTTGCATTAATAGCTTCACAAGTAACAATTCATTTCCAACCTACATTAAACTGGGCTTACCTTTAAAGCAAAGGCTGAAAGTTCTGGGGGGGGGGGGGTACTGGGGGGAAGTCTCCAGAATTTGCTACAGTACTCAGCTCTTTTTCTGTTTTTAAATTTCAACTTAAAGCACAGCAGGGAGTGCAACTGAGAATCAGAACACACCCTGAGGAACTGTGGTGCTGGTTGTTGGCCAGGGCTGCCATAATGAGACACCACAAGCTGGGGGGCTCAGACAACAGAAGGGTGCTTGTCTCAGCTGGGGAAGCGGGAGAGTCCAAGGCCAAGTCTAGCAGGGTTCAGGTTCATCCTGCTGTACTGTCATATGGCAAACAGAGAAAGGCTTCCTGGTGTCTCTTCCTGCAACAGCACCAATACCACAGTGAGAATCCTAGCCTTGGGCCTCACTCCTTACCTGCCTCCCAAGGACCCCATTGCAGCGGTGGTCAGGGCTTTGACGTAATGAAGGTTTAATCCATGATAGATTTTCACAGTTAAGACAAAACAAAGTCTCAATTCAAATAAATTTTTAAAATTGAAAAAAAAGCAAAACAAAGTCTTGATGATGATTATTCTTGGCTGTTAACTTGACTACATCTGGAATTAACTAAAACGCAAGTGGCTAGGTACACCTGTGAGGGATATTTTCTTAACTAAATCATTTGAAGTGGGAAGACCCACCTCCATTGCAAATCTTTTGAGGAGGGAAGACCCACCTTTAATCCAGGCCACACCGTCTGCTGGCAGCCTATGTAAAGGACATGGAAGAAGGAAGCTTGCTCTCTTTGCTGGTTTGCTCTCACTCTCGCTGGCAAGTCCATTCCTTCACTGGCATTACAGCCTACTTCTTCAGGATTTTGGCATGTACTGAAGACTGGCTGAGACATCCAGCTTCTTAGACTGAACAACTACTGAATTCTTGAACCTTTGGTTTAAGATAGACAGTCATTGTTAGACTAGCTTAACCATAGCCTGTAAGCCATTCTAATAAGTCTAAATCCTCTTCATTATATATATATACATATATATATATATATATATATATATATATATATAGAGAGAGAGAGAGAGAGAGAGAGAGAGTGTGTGTGTGTATGTGTGTGTGTGTTATTCTATGAGTTCTGGTCCCCTAGAGAAGCCTGGTTAATACAGTTTCTAATAACGATCCTGTTGGAAAAAGGACTAGAATATTCTGAGGATAAGTGGAATATAGCAAATGATTACTTTCTGTTAATATAAATATTATAAATTAATACAAATGTATTTTAACATGGGAAAAATTAGTCAAAATCAAAACATTTAATAAGGCTGGCAATGTGATACATGCCTGTATCCCAATACTTGGAAGATAGAGATGGGTTAGTCAAGAATTCAGGATCATCATTGGCTACACAGCAGGTTCAGGTTCAGTCAGAGCTACAGAAAATCCTGTCTCAAAAAAAATGTACTCTTGAATTTAAATTGGAAAGTTAAAAAATAAATAATGAAAAAAATTAAGCCTAACCTAGCTCTGAAACATCTAAACGCAGTGACTAAGTTAGCAGTGGTAGATACCCCTTCTACTACAAGTGTGGTCATTAAAACACATCTCCACTGAGATGAACTACAGACACCAAGATAAAGGGCTGGGCTCAGGTCTTGGCCAGAAGATTTACAAGACGGATGTGGAACACAGCCTTGTGTTGCCAGAATCCGAAGCCTATGAAAGGTAACTGGGTAAAACCCAAGAGCCAACTTAGGAGGCCCCTTTGGGCCAAAGGTAGGAAACTTTGAGTATCACTAGAACAACTGCAATGATTTAAACTTATATGACATCTCTAAACCATGAACTCAGAGTTTTCCTTTTATTCTAAAGCGTAGACATCATCTTTGAAAGATGCTGAGAAACAATCTCAACCAAGGTAGTCGTCAATCTCATTATAGGGGAAGGACATCAAAGGCAGTCTCCCCACCACTGCCTAGATTTGTAGTTGGGGGTCATCTCTGTGGATCGCCTAACATTCCCCCCACCCCGTGCTAGACCTCTCTCCAAACCTATACTGGCTCCCTCTATCAAGGCATCTCTTTTCTTGTACTCTCCTATTCCTCCCCTGTCTCAGTCCTCCTGTTCTTCTTCTCCCTCCCCTTCTCCCCCTCTCCCCTTCCCACTTCCCTCCTCTCTCCTCTCAAGCTCCCAATTTTCTCAGGGCTTCTTATCCCCTCCCCTTCTTCAGGGGATCATGCATTCTTCTCTTGGGGTCCTCCTTGTTCCTGTTCCTGGTGGTGTGGATTGTAGGCTGGTAGTACTTTGCGCTATGTCTAATACCCATATATGAGTGAGTACATACCCTGCATGTCTTTCTGTAATTGGGTTACCTCACTCATGATGTTTTCTTCCAGTTCCATCCATTTGCCTGCAAATTTCAAAATTTCATAGTTTTTTTTTCCCGCTGAGTAATATTCCATTGTGTAAATGTACCACATTTTCTCCATTCATTCTTCAGTTGAGGGCATCTATATTGCTTCCAGATTCTGGCTGTTACAAACAACACTTATGAATATAGTTGAACATATGTCCTTGTTGCATGAATGTGCATTCTTTGGGTATATACCCAAGAGAGGAATTGCTGGATCTTGAGAAAGACTGATTCCCATTTTCCTGAGGAACAGCCATACTGATTTGCAAAGTGGTCATACAAGTTTGCACTCCCACCAGCAGTAAAGGAATGTACCTCTTTCTCCACATCCTCTCCAGCATAGACTGCCATTGGTGTTTTTTATTTTAGCTATTCTGACAGGAGTAAGATGGTATCTCAGGGTTGTTTTGATTTGCATTTCCCTGATGGCTAAGGATGTTGAACACTTTCTTACATGTCTTTCAGCCATTTTAGCTTCCTCTATTGAGAATTCTCTAGTTCTGCACCCCACTTTTTAATTGGATTGTTTGGTGTTTTGGTGGCTAACTTCTTGAGCTCATTGTATATTTTCTAAATCAGCCCTCTATCAGATGTGAGGTTGGGGAAGATCTTTTCCCATTCTGTGGGCTGCCATTTTGCCTTGCTAACTGAGTCCTTTGCCTTATAGAAGCTTCTCATTTTCAGGAGGACCCATTTATTAATTGTCAATCTCAATGTCTGTGCTACTGGTGTTATGTTCAGGAACCTGTCTCCTGTACCAATTCGTTCAAGGGTACCTCCCACTTTCTCTTCTAAGAGGTTCAGTGTGGCTGGATTTGAGCCATTTGGACTTAAGTTTTATGCATGGTGATAGATATGGCTCTATCTGCCATCTTATACATGCCAGCATCCAGTTAGGCAAGCACCATTTGTTTATGATGATTTCTTTTTTCCATTGTATAACTTTAACTTCTTTGTCAAAAATCAGATGTTCATAGGTGTGTGGGTTAATATCAGGGGTTTCAATTTGATTCCATTTATCTACCTGTCTTCTTTTGTAAAGGGTGATGTTTCTTTGATTTCTTTCTCAGCCCATTTATTGTCTGTTTATAGTAGGGCTACTGTTTTTTTCAGTTAATTTTGTATCATGCCACTTTGCTGAGGTATTTATCAGCTGTAGGAGTTCCCTGGTAGAGTTTTTAAGGTCAGTTATGTAAACTATCATATCATCTGCAAATAGTGAAAGTTTGACTTCTTCCTTTCCACTTTGTATCCCTTGATCTCTTTTGGTTGTCTTAATGCTCTAACTAGAACTTCAAGTAATATTGAAGAGGTATGGAGAGAGTGGACAGCCTTGTCTTGTTCCTGAATTTAGAGAAATCATGTTGAGTTTCTCTCCATTTAGTTTGATGTTGGCTGCTGGTTTGCTGTATATTGTCTTTATTATGTTTAGGCATGTTTCTGTTATTCCTTTTCTAAGAACTTTATCATGAAGAGGTATTGGATTTTTAAAAAGACTTTTACAGCATCTAGTGAGATGATCATGTGGTTTTCCTTTTCCAGTTTGTTTATATGGTGGATTACATTGATGGATTTTCATATGTTGAAGCAAGCCTGCATCCCTGGAATGAAGCCTACTGGATCATGGTGGATGATTTTTCTGATGTGTTCTTGTATTCGATTTGTTAGTATTTTATTGAGTATTTTTTGCACCAATGTTCATGAGGGATGTTGTTTTGTAGTTCTCTTTCTTAGTTGTATCTTTGTGAGGCTTGGGTACCAAGGTAATTGTAGCCTGATAAAAAGAATTTGGCAATGTCCCTTCTGCTTCTATAAGGTGGAACAATTTGAGGAATACTGGTATTAGCTCTTCTTTGAATTTGTGGTGGAATTCTGCACTGAAATTATATGGCCCTAGGCTTTTTTCAGTTGGGAGACTTTTGATAACTGCTTCTCTTTCATTAGGGGTTATATGTCTATTTAAATTGCTTATCTGTTTTTTATTTAATTTTGGTAAGTGATGCCTATCCAGAAAATTGTCCATTTCCTATAGATTTTTGAATTTTGTGGAGTACAGACTTTCAAATTATGACCTGATGAGTCTATACATTTCCTCTGTGTCTGTTGTTATGTCCCCCTTTTCATTTCTGATTCTGTTAATTAGCATGCTCTCTCTCTCTCTCTGTCTCTGTCTCTCTCTGTCTCTCTCTCTCTCTCTCTCTCTCTCTCTACCTTTTGGTTAGTTTGGATAAAGGTTTGTCTATCTTGTTGATTTTCTCAAAGACCCAACTCTTTGCTTCATTGATTCTTTGTATTGTTTTTCTGGTTTCTACTTTATTGATTTCAGCCCTCAATTTGATTATTTCCTGGCATCTATTCCTCTGGGGTGAGTTTGCTTCTTTTTATTCTAGAGATTTCAGTTGTACTGTTAATTCTCTAGTGTGACTATTCTCCAGTTTCTTCATGTGGGCACTTAGTGCTATGAACTTTCCTTTTAGCACTGCTTTCAAAGTGTTCCATAAGTTTGGGTGTGATGTGTCTACATTCTCATTGAACTCTAGGAAGTCTTTTAATTTCTTTTTTTATTTCTTCCTTGAACCAGGAATGGTGCAATTGGGTATTGTTCAATTTCCATGAGTTTGTAAGCTTTCTGCAATTTGTGTTGTTGTTGAATTCTAACTTTAAACCATGGTGATCCAATAGGATACAGGGGGTTATTCTGTGGAGGTTTGCTATGTTACCTAGTATGTGATCGATTTTAAAGAAGGTTCCATGTGACTCTGAGAAGAAGGTATATTCTTTTATGTTTGGATGGAATGGTCTATAGATGTCTGTTAATCCCAATTGGGTCATAACTTCTGTTTTTTGTTTCTTTGTTAAGTTTCTGTGTGGTGGTCCTGTCCAGTGGTGAGAGCAAGGTGTTGAAGTCTCCCACTATAAGTTGTGAGGTTTTATGTGTGATTTGATCTTTAGTAATGTTTCTTTTACGAATGTGGGTGTCTTCATATTTGGGGCATAGATGTTCAGAATTGAGACTTCTTCTTGATGGGCTTTTCTTATTTGAACATGAAATGCCTTTCTTCATCTCTTTTCATTGATTTTAGTTTGAAGTCTAACTTGTTAAATATTAGGATTGCTACACCAGCTTGTTTCTTGGATATGTTTGATTGGAAAATCTTTTCCAACCACTTACTCTGAGGTAATGTCTGTCTTTAATGTTGAGGTGTGTTTCTTGTATGCAGCAGAAGGATAGATTCTGTCTTCATATCCATTCTGTTATTCTGTGTCTTTTTATAGGCAAGTTAAGACCATTGACATTGAGGAATATTAATGACCACTGATTGTTGATTCTTGTTTGCTTTAGATTTGTTATAGGTGGTGTTATTGTGTCTGGATCCCCCCCTTTTTTTTTCTTTTGGTGTTTGGTAAAGTGGGATTATCTATTGCCTGTGTTTTTGTGAGTGTAGTTAACTTCCTTGGGTTAGAGTTTTCCTTCCAGTACTTCCTGTAGGGCTGGATTTGTAGATATGTATTGTTTAAATAGGGTTTT